AAACGGAGCTTCCTAAGGAGTGGAGAACGTTGAAGAATCACCCGATTGACAACGTTATTGGTGAAATAACGCAGGGAGTTTCTACTCGTAATTCTCTTAGGAACACAATTAATCACATGGCCTTTGTTTCTCAAATTGAACCAACAACCGTTTTGGATGCTATTAATGATGAACATTGGTCTATGGCAATGCAAGAGGAGCTTAACCAATTTAAACACAATGATGTTTGGGAATTGGTGCCTAGACCAAATGATCATTTCGTTATTGGCACAAAATGGGTGTTTCGTAACAAACTCAATGAAAATGGAGTAATCACTAGAAATAAAGCTAGGCTTGTAGCTAAAGACTACAATCAAGAAGAAGGCATTGATTATGAACAAACTTATGCACCGGTTGCACGTTTAGAAGCTATTCATTTATTACTTGCATTTGCATCTACGATGGATTTTAAACTTTATCAAATGGATGTTAAAAGTGCCTTCCTTAATGGTATCATTCAAGAGGAAGTGTATGTCGAACAACCCCCGGGTTTCGAAGACTATGAGTTTCCCGAACATGTCTTCAAACTTAAAAAGGCGCTTTACGGTCTCAAACAAGCACCTCGTGCTTGGTATGAACGGTTAAGCAAATTTCTTTTGGACCATGAGTTCAAACGGGGTCAAGTCGACACTACACTTTTCATGAAGAAAGATAACCAAGACATCCTTTTGGTTCAAGTTTACGTAGATGATATCATATTCGGTGCTACTAACGAGGTTTTGTGCAGGGATTTTTCCGATATGATGCAAAGTGAATTTGAAATGTCGATGATGGGAGAATTAAAGTTCTTCCTTGGGCTACAAATTAGACAATGCAAAGAAGGGACATTCGTGTGTCAAACGAAATATTGCAAGGAATTGCTTAAGAGATTCGATGTTACCGAATCCAAATCCATTGACACACCGATGAGCACCTCTTGCTATCTCGACAAGGACGAAAAAGGTAAAGAGGTAGACATCAAACGCTACCGAGGTATGATCGGCTCTTTACTTTATCTTACCGCGAGTAGACCGGATATCATGTACTCCGTTTGTATATGCGCTAGGTATCAATCATGTCCTAAAGAGTCGCACTTGGTTGCGATCAAAAGGATAATGCGATATCTTGCGGGCACGTTGAACGTAGGTCTTTGGTATCCCAAAGGTTCGACATGTCATCTTGTTGGCTATTCCGACTCGGATTTTGCAGGTTGCAAACTCGATAGGAAAAGTACCAGCAGTACTTGCCACTTATTCGGTCATTCGTTAATCTCGTGGTTTAGTAAGAAACAGGTTAGTGTTGCACTTTCCACCACCGAAGCGGAATATGTCGCTGCGGTAAGTTGTTGTGCCCAAATTCTTTGGCTAAAACAGCAACTAGTGGATTTCGGCCTTATACTTGATCACATCTCAATTAGGTGTGACAATATGAGCGTCATTAGTCTAACGAAGAACCCCATTCTTCACTCGAGGGCTAAACACATAGAAATTAGGCATTACTTCATACGAGATCACGTCCAAAAGGGAGATGTCACAATTGAGTTTGTTGAAACGAAACATCAATTGGCTGACATTTTCACGAAACCCCTTAGTAGGGAGAGTTTCTTCCACATTCGGAACGAACTTGGCATTTTGGATATCTCTATGAACTAATTCATTCTTGTTATTGATGATACTAATTTGAGCGTCGGAGGCTCTATAACTTTTTTTTTGCAGGGCCTTTCAGGTATCTTGGCCCGTGGCATCAAACTGATTTGAATCTGATGTTTTTTTTCTGTCAAAAATTTTTTTAATCGATTACTCCTCAAAGAGAAATCGATTAGACGTGTCTGCCTATCCTAATCGATTAATATCCCTTGGTTAATCGATTACTAGCCTTCAGCGTAAAGTCCTTTGGTTTTGCCTCACCTTTAATCGATTAATAAGTTATATAAAATCGATTAGTGTCGTCTGCGTCCCTTAATCGATTAATACACTTTGATTAATCGATTATTATTCGATTTTTGGTCTTTTAAATCGACCTGACTTCGTCTTCCTCGCCAATTTCCTCAGAACTTCAGACCGGCGACGAAACCCTAGCTCTCTCATCCCCGGTTTCTTCTTCACAAATTCCTTCAATCTTTTCAACAAATTTCACCAAATTTCATCAAATTCAAAGAGGGAAGATGCCAAGGACCAAGAACCCTTCCTCGCGACAAGAAACAGCGGCGGTGGAAGAAGAAGAACGTCCATGGCGTAAAGAAGGAACCAAATACTTCCACACTCAAACCGGGCTTATCTTCAGGACGGGAGCATCAGTTGAGAGGTTCCACAACAACTTTCTCACAACTCACCAAAGATTGTGGACAAGGACCTCTTCAAATCGGCGACCTATGCCCCGAGTAAGTCTCTTTTTGCTCAGCAAAAGTTGCTTCGTTTCATTCACTTGACGTATGAATTCTTTTGTCCAAATCTTATACGTCAATTTTATGCAAATCTTCGTACCACTAAGGGAGACTCGCCATCTCTCGTTTCCTATGTTGACGGCAAAAGCATTGAAATTGATAGTGCCGGTTTGACCTCTCTCTTTGGCCTTCGTCGAGGTGAAATTACCGAAAACTTGGATGAAACATTCCAAGATGAGGCAATTTGGCGACAACTCGGGTTAGACTCTCGTGACCTCAAGTTTAGAAATTCTAGCAACCCGAGTGTCATTAACCTCACTTTGATTCAACGCGTTCAACAATACATCTTCTCCTATGTTTTGTTGCCCCGTGATTCGAACCATGGCATTGTCAACAAGGATGATATTCGTTTGTTTCACGTCCTGTTGAACAATGTCAAATTTGATTGGGTTCACTTCTTTGTCGTTGCACTTAGTGATGGTACTCGGTTTTCCCATCTCCGTTTTGCCATCCCGATCATGCATATCCTTGCTCGTACCAAAGTGGATTTTACTCGGGACACTCAGGTACCGGTGAAGAAGACTTGTTTTATCACGGAAGCAAAGTTCACCCGGACTGTCTACCGCGAGGTAAATGAGCAAAATTTGGAGTTGGTCATTCCAGACGAAGTGGAGAGAGAGACAGAAGCTGAGTCATCTCAGGCCGGAGGAAGTCGAACCACGGAACGCGTTACTCGTCAACGCATGACTCGTCCGAGAGAAGAAGCACCAGAACCTTCTTGGGTGAAGAGAATCTTTGATACTCTCACATGCATCCGAGACGACGTTCGCCAGCTCAACGAGAGGATGACTCGTTTCGAGCACTCCCGCTCCTACCGTGGCCCGCGTCACAGCTTCAGCGGAGGAGCTCGTCCGGCGAACTCTCTTTAATTATTTTCTCTTCTGTCTTAACTTATTATGATACATTGCTATTTGCTATTGTTGTTATAACTCTTTTGGTGGATGATGATGTTGCTAATTATGCATTGTTTGTTGGTTTGGCAATATGGTTCTCTTTTAGAACATATTGTCCCTTTGTGGCAATTAGAAGTTTTTTTTAAGAAAACTCTTGCAAAATTTTTTACTATCCTTCAAAATCCCGGCATTGTTTAAGGGGGAAGGTTATCGGTTGATAATGCCAAAAGGGGGAAGGAAGGATCGTTGAGAAAACTTGGTTTTCAAAATTGTTTTTCCGCTTATTACTCCAATTATTTTTTTTACTGCACTTCTCTAACCTTGTAGGGGGAATCAATTAAGGGAAGTATTTCTTGAACTCTTACTTTGCTTTTTCTCAACTATGTTTGTCATTATCAAAAAGGGAGAAATTGTTGGACATGAGTTCAAACCCCTTTATTATTTTTTTTGGAATATTTTTTTGTTTTGATGAATGACAAACAGGATGATTAAATTCAATCGATATTCGAAAATTTATTCGGATCGAGAAAAACAAAGAAGGGCATCAAGAAGTTTCGGCGATTAAATTCAACGCTCACCCCTACGCAGTTTTTTGAAGTGAAGCGAAGACTCCGAAGACTTTTTATTTTTTATTGAGTCTAGGAATTTTTGTAAGGATGACAACACCTTCTGCATTAACAAATTATTTTTTGAGGGATAAAAAATATTATTTTCTGAGTCAGTTGAAAAATTATTTTTTCTTTGTCAAAAAATATTTCTACCGAATCAGTTTCAAAATAGTGTGTCAAAATTTCTTAACAATAATTTTTTTAAGATTACACAATTTTTTTTGGTAAGAAAAATTTACTTTAAATATTTTTTGTGTACATCGTTTGACACACAAAATAATTTTTGGACTCTCTTTTTCTCTCCCCTACTCAAATTCATTGAATAGAGAAGATTTTAGGCGAGGAGCGTCTCCTTATTCTCCTTGTCTGAAACAACCAAGTAGAAGCCAAAGTGCTTCCAATCGCACTTGGCTTGGGCCCTTTGTGTTTGCGCATTATTTTCATTTTAATCGATTATATCCTCTAAGATAATCGATTAGATCCAGCGCAATTTCTCAGGTTTCAACTCTTAATCGATTATTTCTTCTAAGAAAATCGATTAGCTTGGACAGAACTTCCTAATCGATTTGTTACTTCATTTTAATCGATTTATAAGCTTTTCGGTGGGCTGCTCTACTTTGAACAATAATCGATTAATTCTCATCAATTAATCGATTAGTTCAAACCGAACCTCCTAATCGATTATTTGTCTTCATTTAATAGATTATGATTCTGTTTTCTTTTCAGGCTATTTCGCTTCTGTGTACCGTAATCGATTTAACCTCTTACTTTAATCGATTAATTTTTATCTGGTGCACAGATGTGTAGTTTATGCAACCAAACATTGTGTATGTGTGCAAGGGCTGGGTTGATCAATGTTAGATGATGACCATTGAGGTTGGCGAGGAGGTTAACTTCAAACATGGAAGAAAGAGTTTTCATTTCTTCGTGCTCATACTTTAGCTAGAAAGTCAAAATATCGTACTTCTTTGTGAAACTTTATCTCTCATATTTTTATTGTACTGTTTTTGTTGCATTAATAATATGACCCTGGTTTCCAGAATTTTAAATTTCAATGTAATAAGATAATATTAATTTTAATTGAGACACATACGCTTCATAAAATTAATGATTCGTGCCCCTAACTTCCTCCTGCCATCTTCTTCGGGTTGAATGAGATGAGAGGATATATCAAGATAATTAGAAGATAAGCATAATTAGTTTTACGAATCAGACACAAGTACACTTAATGAATGCTTCTTTGGGACAGTTTGAATACATATCATTTTTGTAGACTTTTTTATATATAAAAAATTTTTTAAACAAATATTTATTTAATTAGTAAAAAAATAGGAAGTTCTATGATAGAACTTAGATAGTCTATTATAAGCAATTTTAGGAAGGATGGCATAATAATTATTGGTTTATCCGTTTAGTCTTAAAAAAAGTGTGTAGAAGTCCAATCTTTAATCCTTATCTTGAACCGAGCCTCGGACAATAGACACATGTCATCTTACCTTTAAACTCGAGGATAGTCCGCCGCCGTCGTCCCTCGGCCGCCGCCGTCTCCGCCTCAAAACTATGAAGGCAGTCGTGATCACAGCACCGGGCGGGCCGGAAGTTCTGCAAATCCAACAAGTGGAGGACCCGGAGATGAAAGACGACGAGGTGCTGATCAGAGTGGCGGCCACGGCACTCAACCGCGCCGACACCCTCCAGCGCTAAGGCAAATACCCTCCTCCCAAGGGAGACAGCGATTACCCTGGTCTTGAGTGCTCCGGCACCGTTGAAGCTGTCGGAATAAATGTCAGCAAGTGGAAGGTCGGTGACCAGGTGAGATCATCTCCAAACTCCACAACTAGGAATTGGTCATGGTTTGATTGGATTGCCCTGCTTCATGAATTGTTAGTTCTTAATCTGATCAGACTTTAGTTGATCACTTTCTAGTTTTTTTTGTTGTGTGGAATTAGTTGTTAATATTTCTTAAATTTAGTAAACGAATTGCTATGATTTCCCAATCGGGGAAAAAATGTTATGAGTTTTGAAATTCAAAATGAAAATGAAAGTGTTCGGAGGGATCTCAAAACTCCCTCAATTTCTACTAAAATATGGAGATATTAAAACACCCTATCTAATCTGAATCTTGTTTAGATTATACTGAACATATGAGTTCTAGTATCCAGAGATATCAAAACTCATGTCTCTTGTGCTCACCCAACGGACCCTATGAAATGTCTAAATTTCCTCTAGATAGCTATTAACATTGTTTGAAATCAATGAGTGACTTAGTTGATACTTTAGACTTACTACTACCCAAAATGAGATATTATGGAAACTGGACAACAAATTTGGAGTAAGGAGTAATTGAGCTTTCTGATGTAGAAGATGCTCCTTACATTTAAGCTCTAGCTATTACCTATGGTCATCAAGGTTAAGGTTCCATTTGGTAGCAAGTTTCTGCTTATTTTGCTGAAATGGACGTTACCCTATATTCTCCTTGTACAAAAATCAGCATATTACCCTTTTTTTCCAGCCAACCAGTCCTTACCAAAATCCCCTCACCAGTCTCACGGTCTGACCAATGAAGGGCTTACCGGTTGTGTTATTTGATGATAACTATCACTGCTAAAATTTCTATAGAGCCGAACAAAGCTGATGGGTAATTATTTATCTAGTTTTTAAAAGCTCTATTCCCTCCATTCACTGTTAATTGACCATTATAACTTTTGTGATGCCTCAAAACTCGAATGGATATGGATATACGTCATGTCTACATTCATACATTTCTAATGTATCAAAAAGTCATAATGATCAGTTAAAAAAGATGAGAGGGAGTAGCATAAAACAACTAGGGCCGATTATTTATTCGCTTTAGCACTTTTTGTCAGAATCACAACCAACTTTCCGTTCAATTTATTTTAGCTATAGTTCAGTTAGATTCGGTTCAGTAAATTAGAATAGACCCTCACTTGAGAGAGCCATATTCTGCAGGTATGTGCTCTTGTTGGTGGCGGAGGCTATGCTGAGAAAGTGGCTGTGCCAGCTGGACAGGTCCTTCCCGTTCCACGTGGTGTTTCATTGCAAGATGCAGCCAGTTTCCCTGAGGTTGCTTGAACTGTTTGGTCAACTGTCTTTATGATGAGCCGGCTATCCTCTGGGGAATCTTTCTTGGTAACTTATATCTGCTTTAGTTCTTTAGTTTTCAATTATATCTGCTTGGCTTTGCTGCAGTCACAGATTGAATGGATGTTTGGCACTTCCAAAATTTGATGTACAAAGTGAGATTTTAAATATCTCACTTGGGCTGTATTTGGAACTCGGATATCAGAGAATGGCAGTTAAAGGGAAACAAATCTAAGAAAATTGGTTTTTGGGTTTGTTTTTCGGCGTAGATTTTACCGAGTACTGATAATGGTCAATGCAACTTCAGATACACGGGGGCTCTAGTGGAATAGGCACATTTGCCATTCAAATGGCTAAGCACCTTGGAGTAAGAGTTTTTGTCACAGCAGGTGAGGTCAACTGTAGAACTTTGTTATAACTTTTTGAAGTTATAAATTATTTATATGCATTAAGGAGCCATATATTGTTCACCAGGAAGTGAGGAAAAGCTTGCAGCTTGCAAGGACCTTGGAGCAGATGTTTGCATAAATTACAAGACCGAAGACTTTGTTTCTCGTGTGAAGCAAGAAACCGGTGGAAAAGGTGAAAATAATTCCATACAACACAATAACTTGGCCGGTATTTATATTAGGACTACTCATAAGTTGCACCAAGGCGGGGATGGGTACTTATATGGGGATGGGTTCAAAATGTTAAAACACCAACTTTTTCAATTTTTATAAAGGATTTGGGTGTCGAGATGTCCTCAAGTGCTCAAATGGGGACGTCTCGACGTGAATCAACACTTATTTGAAGAATATATGCAACATATAGGGCTAGAAAAGTTGGAACTCAATCAACTTTTCCATGACTATATTTAAACAATGGCGTATCCAAAGGGGGAAACATTGACACCCCCCTCACCCCACCCATTCTCTATATATAAGTGTACCCCCTTCGTTCCAAAATATATTTCATACTTTTCCTTTTTGGTAGTCATAAAATAAACTTGAGACTTCTCATTTTTTTCTTTATAAGGAATGGTAGATGTTGCTCACAATTTTTTCCCCTCTCTAAACAGATTTCAACCACACATCACTTTTTCATTATTTTTCTTAAACTTCGTTAACTTCACTTTGTATAGATGTAACTTCTTGAGTTCGAATCTTCCTACTGATTTTTGTCTATTTTTGTGTTTGAATTTTATGCTCATATGTCTCGTTAAACCGTTTTAGTGTTAGGAAGAATGCCTCAGCTGACCCTAACCCTTCAAAATGTGAGGGTTTTGAACTTTGGGGGGGGGGGGTCATGAAAAGAGTGAAATTATCTATTTTTAAAAACATCAGTCTAACACAATTTGCAAGAGGCACTTGTTACCATTTTCGTGATACTTCGATATTCAACTGAAAGTTGAATTTGCAAGAGGCACATAAACATTAAAATATGGAATTTAACAGAGACACTAGTCTAATACA